CCCACACACTGTTCATGCACTGTTGAACTTCCGATGAAATTCCATGCTGCGATCACGGTTCTGCTATTTCGCCAAATTCTGAATTCGTCAGGGGAACTTTGCCGAAATTACTTTCGCCCAGTTTCTATGGCACTGTTTTCATGCCCAGTATTCATGGTTTTTAACCATTCTAGTTTCGTGCTTTAAGTTCAGGAATCCGGAATGTTTTTTTTCCCATATTCTCAATGTGGGGTCTCGAATGCATTGGGTTCCCTAACAACGAAAAAATCGCCTTTTTGAGGGTGGTGGTGGTGTCTTCATCCCCCTCTCCCTCCTCCTCCACACACACCCCCCTCCCCAATCTCAGACGCTTCAACCACAATCTCTGCGAAAAGCTCGTCCAAACTGGGGTGTCAATGGATGTGGATGTGCATAGACGGGCGATGTAGTTTCACTGCGGTTTTTAAGCTTCTAGAAGCTTAAAAAAGATTTTCAGCTCGGTGCTTCGACTTCCAGGATGTGGCTGGACATGGCTGGGCACGCTCTTGACCTGACCGTCTCGCTGGGGGCTGGATGTGACTCGGGATCGAGGCTCAGAGGCAGGGCTTTCGCTAGAAGGGTAGCTACCCTAAATGTCGAGAAATTAAGAGTTGTCTGAACCCTGAATTCGGATTTTATTAGGCCAGGTTTTGAGGATATCTGAATCTGGCCGAATCAATGAGCCTTGGAATTCGGATGCATTCCGTGACAGGTTTTCATGAAACCTGAAGGACTAGTCTCGCAGTAAGGAGAACTATCTCTGTCAAGATAATATAGGTAATATCCTATTTGGACCTGAGTTTCCATTTCAAATTTCTCCGTCATGTGCGCCCCAAACATTACAGTAGAAGGCAGATGATTCCTTCCGCTTAGGCAGAATTACCGCTCGGAGATCTTGGAAGGATTTCGAGTGACAACCCCTTGGATTCCAGAAAATTCTGGGTATGATTGGACCATAACTCAGCACCTTCCGAAACTCCCTGGCGTCTAGCCTAAGCGCTGCTCAGAGGAGAAAAAATGGAAAATGGTGGCCGTGTGTGGTTATCATCATCACCCAGCCAGTTGCCAGCAGGGGTGCGGTGATGGGCTAAACTGCTGAGATGCACACCTTCGAAGGTCAATCTCAACTTCCACTAAACTGCACCATGGCACATTTTGTGGTTACACTGTACATCTGATGAATCTGGTGAGGGAGCGCCAGCAGCAGTGGCCGCCGCACCTGAAATCCTGCCCCACTAAATTCCCCTCTACGCAGCCCAGCTGTCACCACGAACCCGCGGCAGGGCTGTAGAATTGAATGCTCGCCTGATATTTATGTTACATAACCACCCACATTGAAATGCCCCCTACTGAAATGCTCTCCCACCTCTTCCCTCCGAACATGGACAAACGCACTTTGATTTGAAGACACCACTATGATATGCTGGCACAAGTTTACTCCTGAATTTTTAGCGTCGGTACGATTCTCCTTTACTGCAACTCTATATTTAACCTCTATATCATTCCTAATAATCAATATTTTGAACCAGCTAATTCGGTTTGCCAGTTTCGAATTGCCCTCCTATTATATTGTTTTTTCATCTACTGCCAGTAGAGTTTCCTGATTACTTCTTGAGCCCGTTATAGACGTTACCCTTTAAAATATATGCTTCTTTATTCATCTCCCAAATGGATATAATCGGGAGTGATCCTTAATGTCCAGAGTTTAAGAGTTGTTTCCGCCTTAATTCCCTTATTTTGAAGAGGAAAGGTTCCTGATTCCGTCCTCCTAACGCAATACCTTCCTTGAAATTTCGGGTTACTTTTCTTTGATTCCGCACGAAAAGCTTCCTTCCTTGAATAGGGGAATATCCCTAGTGGATTTTTTTAACCTTCCCCTTTAAATGTCCCTTCCACTTCGGCCACTAAGCAAAGAAAAGTTTCTTTCGCTGACTTTTGTTTCGTTGATAGGTTAGCGGGAGATTTTTCTCCTCTCCCAACCGAGGCAAAGTAACATAGTGAGAAACATTCCATGGGGTTTCCGAGGCTCCCCTTAACCGGCTATTTGACCGTAATGATAAAAAATGTAAATATTCGACGAGCCCGTATAATAATGAGTTGTTTAACGGAAAATTCGTTCTCTGAGGGGTAATTCTGGGCCGATTGCGTCACCTAACGGAATACCCTAGGCGATAGTTAGATCCCTGACATTCTCGTTGCTTTTACAGGGTATAAGCCTAAACTCAGACAGCATTCAGAATCATTATTCGCAGACCCAACCAGGCAGGCCTGCGTGGCTGACGCCGCCAACACAGACGCCCAATGATTTATCCAGATCTCGCCGCATCAGAGCCCAGTTGGTCCTTCACCTGTCCACAATCTTGCTTCCTCCTCTTTTTGAAGCCGTTCGCTGCGGCGGCGACGAAGCTCCGGCTCTGAAGAAAGAGGCGTCCCATCCCATCACCTCACGTACGAACTCTCTTATGTTTAACATTTGATGCACTCTTCGGAAGAACTAAGATTTTGAAGGCATTTGTACAACGACTTGTTACTAGTTGTAGCCAATGCTAGTACCACGAGTAACACTGATCCCCCAGTTAGCAAGAACAGTGTCGGACGGATGCGTACCACGTAGCACACGCCGAGTAGCACGCCACGGAACGCGACTCGACGGACGAGTCCCGCCGCGCCATCTATTCAGTGAAAAAAAAAAAGCTTCTGACAAAGAAGTATCACGTGATTGTGATCCAAGTCATAACTCGCATTGCAGCCGGATTCTGCGAAGCTATAGATAATCTAGTAGCACCAGGATCATCGAGAGCCTGGGATATACTGTCAGGGTTGTCCCAAAACGCCACCGGGATGGAATATGCACAGCCCTGCAGACGCTAGTACTAGAGCGACCACGGTAACACCTCCAATTAGGCGGCACGAAGAGGACGGTGCCGCTCAGGAAGGGGTGGGAAAGAAGTAACGGATGGAGGGCTGTCAAGGACTGCTCGGTAGGCCAGGCGAGGATGAGGTGGAGAAGCAAAATGTGGATGCTGCTGCTGCTGCTGCTGCCGATGACAATGAAGACGACGATGATGATAAAGATGATGATGGCGGCGGTGATGATGATGGTGCTGGTGGTATAAATCATGGAGATCTGACTCATCACATTGGAAGAACCATGGGGCCGCCGCCTCCGTCCCAGAGCACCAACCCTGCCTTCCCCCTCGTGCTGCCCGGACCGCAGCGCTCATCATCAGGCCTGTCATTTTCAGCCGATGCCACCTCGGGTCATTCGGAGCCTCAGACTGAGGATCTCCTTTCTCCCTCCCTCTCCACATGCCTCTCTACTTCACTGCTGGTGAGTGCACCACGCAACTTGCCCTCAGCTGGGAGGGAGGGGCAGGCGGCACCGCCTGCGTCACATCTTACCGAAACTGCAGCTTTGGCTGCAAAGGACATGCCAACGCCAGCAGCAGCAGCAGATGCAGCAGCGGCATCAGATCTGGCGGTACTGGGAACTGTCACGGCAGCAGCAGCAGCAGCAGCAGCAGCAGCAGCAGCAGAAGGAGGAGGTGGAGGAGGAGGAGGAGAAGGAGGAGGAGGCTCCTCAGCAGCAGCAGGAGGCATGTTGGGACGGGAGGTGTCAGCTGGTCCCACATTGCAAGAATTGGTGCGGATGGTGACGAAGCAAGAACCGGGCGAGCGAGAAGCAACTCTCCCAGAGGGTTTGGCGAAGCTAGATCCGTCAGAGCATGGGCCCATGCCCAGTGGTAGCCATGGATTATCGCCGTCTTCCTCTGTTCCGTGGCTGGCTGCTCCACCAGTGACCATGGTGGACAGACCACTAAGGAAGCCACGGGAAAGAAACCTCTTTCATGCCATTGATAAGCTGGAGGGAGGGGGCCAACAGCAACAGCAACAGCAACAGGAGCAGCCGCAGCAGAATTTTGAGAAGCAGAAGCGCTACCAGCAACACACCGGGGAAAGGGTTCCAAGAGTGAGAAGTGAGCCTCCTGCCAGGCAGTCCAGATCCATGGAGGTTCCGGAGCTGCTGCGAGCTGCCACTGACTCTGCTGCTGCTGCTGCTGCTACTGCTGCTGCGGCAGCGGCTGCCGATGCTGTTCCTGATCGGGGCCTGGAGGGAGCGACTGGGGCACTCAGTCGAAGAGGCGGTGAGCAACAAGGAAGGGTTCTGGGTGAAGAGGCTCAAAGAGGCCATCCAAGACGATGGGAGGGCGTAAAGGAGGGAGGGGCGGATACGATGAGCAGTGGTGGAGGCCGAGCAGGGAAGCGAAGAGGGGATGAGGGGCTGCTGGAAGGCGAGGGCTTGCAGCGATGCTGGGCCGGAGGTGGAAGAAGCTCGGGTGGTGGCATTGGTGCCTCCGGATCTGCTTCTGGTTCTGCTGCTAGTGCTGCTGCTGCTGCCAGTGTTGGTGCTTGTAGGGCTGGTGGTGCTGCTGGCACTGATGCTGGTGCGGCTACTGTGGTAGCTAGGGGGGGGAAGGAGGCTGAGCACAGGGGTCAAGGACATAGAATATCAGTCAAGAGGGAAGATACTATGCCTGCATCAGGAGCGGGAGGGGGAGGAGAGATGTTGGTGGGGGGCAGTGGAATTGCCCCAATGGTTGATGTTTTAGACCTCAACATGACCCCTGCTATCCAACACACGGACGTACAAATCGGCACATCACACAGAAGGGACGCCGCTGGTCAAGGCCTCTGGCCTTTGATGGAAGCACAAGACCAGGCGCTTGGCTTTCCTGAGCAGGCTACGGGGTTTCAATCACACGAAACAGCGATAGGAACTGCCGTGCCCGGGTTTGAAAGGTCTGCGGCTGCTGGTTCATCGAAGTCATTGCAGGCTGTTGCCTCTGCTGCAGCAGTGTCTACAGGGGACAGGGGGGGAGGTGGTACAGGAGAAGCGAGCCTGAGCGAACGCGGAGAGACGAGCCGAGATGGCAGGGAGGGAAGTATCCGGAGTATTGGCAAGGCTCATGGAGACGGCATAGCTATTGGCACCCCTTCCGAAGAAGAGAAGGAAGAACATGAGACAGGTGGTAACAGCGGCAGCGGCAGAGGCGGTCTTGGTGGTGGTGGCGGTGGCGGTGGCGGTGGCGGTGGCGGTGGCGGTGGCGGTGGCGGTGGCGGTGGCGGTGGCGGTGGCGGTGGCGGTGGCGGTGGCGGTGGCGGTGGCGGTGGCGGTGGCGGTGGCGGTGGCGGTGGCGGTGGCGGTGGCGGTGGCGGTGGCGGTGGCGGTGGCAGTGGCGGTGGTGGCGGTGGCGGTGGTGGCGGTGGTGGCGGTGGTGGTGGATGTGGTGATGGTGGCGGCGGCGATGGCGATGGCGGCGGCGGCGGTGGGAACAGCAGTGAAGGGGCTGCAAGAATGGTTGCGGGTGTGAAGATGTGCTCTCTGTGCCACAGGGTGTTTCCTTCAGGCCAGGCGCTGGGAGGCCACATGAGAAAGCACTGGAAGGGGCCTCCTCGCGGCAGCAGCAGCAAGAGTGGCGGAGAGAAGAAGACTCCTGTTGCACGGCAAGGGCAAGAACAGGCAGAAGCGGCAGAGCAGGGGTCGGGGAACGAGCGCAGGCAGGAACAGGGGCAGGCGCAAGAGCAGGAGCACGGACCGCAGCAGGGGCAGGGGCAGGGGCAGGGGCAGGGGCAGGGGCAGGGGCAGGGGCAGGGGCAGGGGCAGGGGCAGGAGCAAAAGCAGGGGCGGGAGCAGGGGCAGGGGCGGGAGCAGGGGCAGGGGCGTTTGCAGGGAGATGCTGCTGACAGTGTGCTGTGGCGTATTCAGCAGCTGGTGGCACAGAGAAAGATGCGAGGAGGGGACATTGCTGGTGGCGCTGACACACCTTCCAGCACACACAGCGCGCCTGCAGCTTCAGAGCGGAGTAGAGAGAGAGCACAAGGCACAGAGCTCCGGAGCCCACAGGCCGCAACTGAGCTGCTGTGGTCACGAGGGACAGGGGGAAGAGCAGTGGGTGGGACGCGAGGTGTTGTGGAATCGGCAGGGGGGGGAGGCGGGCAGGGAAGACCACTGTGGAAGGCAGAGGGAATGGCGGTGGATAGTGAGGGGAGATGGCAACAGGTGCAGGGCCCGCACGAGCATGAGCAGCAGGGAGCGGCGATCAGGCTGGGACAGGGGTTCGTACCAGAAGGAAGGCAGGGGTTAGGTCAAGGGCTGAGTGCAGGGCTAGGGGGAGGGAGTCTGGGTGAGGAGTTGATACCGAGAGGTGGTATGGGGCTGGTTCGGATGATGCTGGCCCAGGGGCTGGCAGGGCAAGCGCCCTCGCAGGTGCCGAGTTTCTTCCAGGCACGAGCACGGGCACCAATGCTGTTGCACAGGCAGCAGCTACCGCAGCAGTATCAGCAGGATCATCATCATCATCAGCAGCAGCAGCAACAACAGCAACAGCATGAGCAACAGCAAGTGCATTCCCAGCTTCAGCTCCAGCACCAGCCCCAGCATCAAATGCAGCTCCAGCCCCAGCAGCAGCAGTTGCTGTTGCAAGGCCACAGGCGGCTGGGGCTGCAAGCTCAGAGCCTTACCCTACAACCAGAATCATCTGCACGTGCACTCTCACAGAGCCAGTCACCGCGGCTACCAACCATGCAGAGCTCACGCCTACTACCAGCAGCGCAGGCCAGTGCAGGTCAAGCCATGGCGGGTGACGCTCACAGGCGACTAAGTGAGACATGGGAAAGACTCTCTGGGAGCCTCCGGAGCACCCACTCCAGCCAGAGCCTGACCTCTGGGGGGCGCGCCAGTGAGGGGTTGTCTCAGGGGCACGGGCTTGTGCAGGGGGTGGTAGAGCACGGTAGAGGAGATGTGGCTGCTGCTGCTATGGGGGCAGCTGATGCTGCTCTGCTGCCTTCGATTACTGGCCAACCAGGGGATGTGGCTGTGCTCCTGAAGTTAGTGCAGCAGCAGCAACAACAACAGGAAGAGCAACAGCAACAGCAACAGCAACAGCAGCAGCAGCAGCAACAACAGCAGCAACGGCAGCAGCAACAGCAGCAACGGCAGCAGCAACAGCAACGGCAACGGCAACAGCAACAGCAGCAACAGCTTCTGGAGCAGCACTGGAAACAAGAGAGAGAAAGGCTGCAACAGCAGATCGTGCTTCAGCTGCTGGAACGACGCCGACAGTTGCAGGCACATCCACATCAACAGACTCAGCAGCAGCAGCAACAGCAGCAGCAACGGCATGGCATGATGCCAGATGCTGTAGATGCAGGAGCATCCTCTGTAGAGTCGAGGATAGGACTTCCACAGAGGTCTCCATCAGCAGTGGAAGAAAGCGCTGGACCACTGGATCTTAACCTAAGTTTATCTCAGCTTGATCAAAGCCGCCCTGGCTGAAGACGCGTTCATTGGTATGGGGCACTATGCACGAGAGAAATGTGGAGGATTCGAGTGTGAGGAATTTTGCACATTCATGCGCTATCATAATGGTAACATGGGCACGACTATTCGTAATGTTGCTAGGTATTATTTCATTATGTTATTGCTTTATTTGTCTCCTGCCCTCTTCGTGCGTTAGCCCCTCAAATCCTAGAAAGTGAACTCCTGCTTGAGGAGCTAAAGAAAACGGAGTAGTTGGGCAGACACAAGCAAAAATGTTATCGTACGTTCGCTCATACAGATATAACTGGCCTTTTTGTATCAGCACTCGTGACTCAATTGTACACAACGGCTGCGGCTGCTGTCTCTTGTATCGCCGAGCTCTGAACCGGAGAGCCTGCTGAGCTGACAACAACACAGGGCGATGATGGACCCCCCCATCCCTTGTGCTAGACAGTACAACCTCCAAGGGGGTTTGCATGGATGGTTTCTGCTTGTGTTAGACTGAGATGCTAGGTAGGTCGTACCAATCGAAGGACCTCTTCCCGCCATGTGTCCCATCCATGGTCTGTTATCACTTCCCCCTCAATGGCGTCTCCTAAGCTCGAAGCCGACATGTGCTCACCCCGCGACAACGCTCCGCGTCACTCGCTGAAGCGAGTAAAAAAGCTCAGCAGCAACAGCACCACTATCACCGCCACCACTACTACCACCATTTCCCTCCCTGCTAGCGCTCCTGCTCCTGCTGCAGCGACCGCCACTACTGCCACCCCGGATCCCAGATCCGATGCTGCAGATCCGGATTCTCCCGCCATCCACGTGGCGCATCGGCCCGTGATCACCGCGGAGCCATCGGCGGGTATGGCAGGCGCCGAGGCTGACGATTATGAGCGGTCTCTCGTCCCGGCCGCCTCAACTGGCTCCAGGAAGAGGAACCACCGCCGGTTTATCTGCTCCGATGAGCTCGCTCCGTCCGAGGATGCGTCCGGCTCGCCTGGTGGTCGCCCGGTGATTGGCGGAAGGGATGCCGGCGATCGGTGTGCTGGGGGAGCGCAGCCCGCTGCAGAAACGGCAGGTTCAGCAGGCCCAGCAGGCTCAGCAGGAAGAGCAGGAGGAGCAGGAGGAGAAGGAACGACGGAGACGTTAGAAGCGGTAGAAGCTGCCGAAGTTGCGGCCCGCGGGGGTGATAGATCTGGGGAATTGCACGCCGCTGTGACGGAGGCTGCTGCGACGGGGGCTGCTGCGACGGAAGCTGCTGCTACGGATGCCGCTGCGACGAAGGCCACGGCGACGGAGGCTGCTGCGACGGAGGCTGTTGCAGGTGGGGAGATGAGTGGAGGGGGCGATTCAAGTCGTCTTCCTGCGGGAGGCGAGGGCTCGGGTCCGGCTGGCGTGATGGAGGAAGTCCATCGGGACCGCTCCTCCGATGACGCTTGTTCCGGCGTGGGGCGAGCAGGGAAGCGAGGAAAGCAGGAGGGGTGTGATGCGCTAGGCGAAGGCCGAGGGTCAGGTGCAGTGGGCGGCGATGCAGGAGAGGACATGGAGGAGGGGGAGGCGAGGGAGGAAGGGGAGGCGAGGGAGGAAGGGGAGGAAAGAGAGGAAGGGGAGACGGTCGTTTGGGCAGGAGAAGTGGTGGGAGAGGGATCGGCGAAGGAGGGGGGAGATGCCCTGATGGCGGAGTCATCCGACGGAGGGGAAGGCGGGGCAGGGGAAGGCGCGACTGGGGACAGTGACTCGGGTGAAGCAGAGCGACGAGCACAGGGAGGCAAACTAGATGGTCAGGGATCGCCGGGTGAAGAGCAGCAGGCGGATCAGGGGGGGGAACGACGGGGGAACGAGGAGGCGGGACGTGGGTTTGGGGAGGCACATGAGGGTTACGAGGAGCGGCGGGGGTTGGAGGGGCAAGGGGAGGATGCGGAGCAGATGCTTGAGGAGGGGCGAGTGCGCGAAACCATCGATCTGAGTGGGGATGAGGACGATGACGTGCAGGTTCTCTCTCCTGATCCGGTACGCGCTCGCCCTTCGTCCCTCGCCCTTCGCCCCTCGCCCTACCCCCTTCCCCCTTCCCCCTTCCCCCTTCCCCCGTCGCCCTTCGCCCCTCGCCCTACCCCCTTCCCCCTTCCCCTTCCCCCTTCCCCCTTCCCCCTTCCCCCATCGCCCTTCGCCCCTAGCTTTTGACACGCCTCAACCCCTTTCGCCCGTCTTTCGCCTCATGCGCTCACACTGGTCGTACATTGCATCCTAAAACCATAGGCAGGATGTGAGCTTTTTCCTCCCCTGCCTGAGGAGTCCATTTTTGTCGCGCCTCAATAATAAAACCAGAGGCAGGATGCTGGATTTTGTCCTCCCCTGCCCCCTGCGCACCTGACTCCCAACCTCCCTCCCCTGACTCGGTGTCGCTCACCACCCCTCTCCCTCTCCCTGCCCTCTTCCTCGTGTCCATTCCACCGAATCCTGTCCCTCTCACCTCTCTAGTTCCACTTTCTACCCAAGCTATTCTCCTCTCTTCCCCCCCCGGCCCAGTTCCCCCTCTCTCTCCCCCCTGCCCCCCTCCGTCTTGCATCTCCCCTCCCCCCATCCCCCACCCTTCCTGCGTGCCCCTCATCTCATCGCTCGACCAGGTGCAGCACAGCAGGCGCAGAGCAGTGAGGATGGCAGCAGGCAGTTCCAGCTCCAGAGCGCGCCGCTACGTCATGCTCTCTTCCTTCCCTCCTCCTCTGTTCCACCCCCCACCTCTCCGCGGACCCTTCTCTTTCCATGCAATCACGTGCAGCACAGTGGGCGCAGAGCAGCAAGAATTTCCTCGGGCGGTGTCAGTGTGCGTCGTTTCTTCAGGCTCTCGTCCTCCTCCGCGCCTGCAGCAGCAGCCAGCGCTCCTCAGCATTCTCGGCGGGTGACTCGACAGGCTGCGGGTATGCTGTGAGGCTCCGGCGCGAGGCTCGGGCATGAGGCTGGGGTGCGAGGCTCGGGCGCGAGGCTCGGGCGTGAGGCTTGAGTGTGAGGCTTGGGTGTGAGGGTTGGGTGTGAGGGTTGGGTGTGAGTTTGCGAGGCTCGGGTGTGAGGTTGATTTAGGACATGCCTCTGCTGGTGTTCTTGGTTGTTTTGGGACGTGCAGGTGCTCTTTCTACATGGATAACTGAATTGTATGCAGCAGCACTGCTGCCACTGCTACCACTGCTGCCACTGCCAGCACTGCCGGCACTGCCATCACAATCTGCTACTGCAGGGATCCGTGTGGGCGCCTCATGTCCTCACCCGTCCTCCATCTCTTCACATGCGTTTTCCCCTTGTATCACATCTCATTTCTTCCTTGTTCAGATTTTTTTCCCACCTTCGGTACCATCTGTCACATTTCGTTTAACCCGAGAACATCCATCCCCTCTCATTCCTACACACCTGTGCTCTGCGCTTCTCACCCCCATTAACACCGCAACAGCCTCTGCTGCTGGTGTCGCACCAGCGTCTGCTGCCACTGCTGCACAGGCGGTTGGCGTTCGTGAGAGGAGAAGGGGGGGGAGAGAGCGTGGGGTGCCAGATGCTGCTGCTGCTGCTGCTGCTGCTGCTGGCGTGCATGGGAGGGAGGAGGTTGCAGTCTCAGTGGTGGATGATGAGGACGATGACTGTCAGATCGTATCACCACCTCAGCCGGTCAGCTCCTTTGTACCAAGGAGCAAGTTTTGCTTGCTTGGGGCGCTTGTTCACTGCACATGTTCCGCTCCTTGCTCTTCCCCCTATAATGTTTGCACATTCGCCATCGCCACAAACCCTTTCCTCTCCTATCCCCCCCCCCGTCTTGCTTCTACAAGCACGCAAGTGCTCGTGGCTCATGCGCTTTGTTGTCGCTCTTCTCACCATCTTTCCTCTCCTCAGCCACTCCTTCCTTTTGTGTGTGTGTGATTCTCTCCGTGCCCTCCCATCTCCCAGCGGAATCGCCCCCTAGCACCAGAAGGGCTGGCTGCACAGCAAGCCAGGCACGTGCACGTGCATGTGCATGCCCCCCATGCGAGGGGCCGTGAGGGCAGGGCTCTCAGGCACGCAGGCCGTGAGGCAAGGGCTCAGCAAGAGCAGAGGCAGAGCACTGGCAGCCGCGAGGCAAGAGCTGCCGTGCGGGTGAGCGGTGAAGCAAGGAGTGCTCATGAGCTGGCGAGCCGTCAACCCAGGATTCCAACAGCCAGGGGTGAGAACGAGCAGGCGAGTCGGGAAACGCAGGCGCATAACGAGCAGAGGCAGACGGAGGTGGTCGACTTAGATGCAGAAGCTGAGGCAGGGGCAGGGGCAGGGGCAGGGGTAGAGGTAGTGTCAGAGTCCCCTGAAGTGGTGCTGGTGCGTTTTTCCAGTAGCAGCTCCCATGCTGCTGCCAGGCACAGGGCCAGGCTGACAGGCAGTGCAGCAGGGGTGGGGAGGCGGCTGGATTGGAGCAGCAGGAGCGCGGGCGGTGGTGGTACTTCAGCGGGCTTGGGTGCAAGTGGAGGGGTGATGCGGGTTCCGGTCCCAATGGCTGCTGCGTTTTCTAGAGGGGGGGGTGGGAGAGGTGGAAGCGGAGGGTGGCAGGGGGAGGGACTAGAGGGCATTGGAAGAGCAGCAGCAGCATCAGCATCAGCGTCAGCAGCAGCAGCAGCAGCAGCAGCAGTAGCACCAGCAGGGGGAGGGGGAGGGAGTCCAGGGGGGGGAATGCACCTGACATGCTCTGTGTGCCTGGATGATATGAGTGAGGAGACCGTGACGTCATGTGGGCATGTGTTCTGCCGGGGATGCATTACGATGGCTATCAATCAGACTAGACAGTGCCCCATGTGCCGTAAGAAGCTGAACGTGCGCCAAATCCGGCCGATTTTTCTGCGTAGCGCCATGCGGTGAAGGAGTGTATGTTGTGTGGAGGTACAGTGCACGTGGTGTGTTGTGAAGGTGTACATCTCGTATAGCGCGGTTCAATGTGGATGCTATTCGGTTATGATTGCATTTTCAGTAAAAAATCCAAGAGGTTACTGTACATATCAGTTCTATGAAGTGAGATCCGAATGGAAAACAGTACCCATGTAGAACCAATTTGCAAGCCAAGGCTTCTAGTGCATGTCACTTCTGATTCCGTCAGTCAAGGTAACCCTCTTGTCCGGCCCAGACGATTTGACAGCTGCGAAGCCCAATACCGTTAGCGCCCGGATATAAGACCCATGGGTCTTATCATATCAACCCTAGCGATTTTTTTTTAATGTCTTATAAATGGGAAAAAAACACCAACTTGGGTGTCTTATAATCGGAACTTGTATATGCTCTCAAACATATATATAGGTTATGTTTGTATAGACTGTATAGGTTCATATCTTAGAGGGTACAACACTTAGGCTTATACCCTTGTACAGTTTTCTCTCGACATTCAATTCTACGTTAAGATGGTATCAGAGCTTGGTAGGTAGGTCCCGCCGCCCACGCATCCGCCCTAGGCCCTCGTCGCGCTGCCCCTAACTAGTCGCGCCCGTCCTAGCCGGCCCCCTGCGCCGTCGCGCCCGCTCCTAGCCGGCCCCCTGAGCCGTCGCGCCCGCCCTAGCTGGCCCCCTGAGACGCCTCGCCCGTCCTAGCCGGCCCCCTGAGCCGTCGCGCCCGTTCCTAGCCGGCCCCCTGAGCCGTAGCGTTCGTCATAGCTGGCCCCCAAATCTGTTGCGCCCACTCCTAGCCGGCCCCCCCCTGCGCCCGTCGTGCCCGTCCCTAGCCAGCCCCTCGCGCCCGTCCCTAGCCGGCCCGTTGGCATGTCCTTTGCACCGCACAGCACCGCACTGCACCGCTCTGCATCGCACAGCACTGCACTGCCCCGCGCTGCACTGCTCTGCACCGCACAGCACCACGCTGCTGCGACATCGCTCCTGATGGCGGACTCCGTGCTCCGCTTCGACGCAGAGGGACAGCCGATCGAGTTTGACACGTGGCTGGTCGACCTCCGGCTTCACCTCACTGGTCTGCGGCACGACGGCCACTCCCTGGCGGTCCATCTTGACATTACGCTCCCCTGCCCTGACCCACCTGCTCCCCTGCCCGCTGACCCCTCGTTTGCTGACCGTGAGTCCGCCGCAGCTGCTGCCCTTGCCCGCTTTGTTCGGCTGTCACGTGACACTGTCGCGCAGCTTGCGATCAGTCATGCCCTCCCCCTGTCTGAGCGCCCACGCTTTAGGTCAGTCACGACTGCGCAGGAGTTCCTAGAGGCCGTTGTCAAGCGCTATTCCACTCCACCTGCTGCCTCTGTTGGTCGCCTGATCCCGCCGATGCTCTTCCCTGACCTTGCGTCCTTCCCTACTGTCGCCGACCTAGCCGCTCACCTGCGCACGATAGACGTGACCTGGCGTGCTGCCTGCACTGAGACCCAGCTTAGAGCCTTTCAGCCGCCCCTCTGCTCTGCCCTCTACATGCTTGCCACCCGCCTCCCTGATCGTCTTGCTACTGCCCGGGACCACTTCCTTAGCACCCACCCTGGTGACCTCACCCTCACTGACTTTGTCGACACCCTGACTGCCATAGAGACCCGCCAGCGCTCTATCGCCCAGACCAGCTGTACTGTGCCGGTCCCTATCTTTCAGGATTGTGCCCCTGCTCAGTGCACCTTCTCCGACGGTTCTGCTACTATGACTGAGTCCGCCGCTGCAGCGCAGATCCGTTCCGGGAAGGGCTGCCGCCCCAAGGCTGGGCGCGGCGGTGGGGGTGGCGGTGCAGGTGGAAGTGGTGGTGGATTCGGGTCGCCTAGTGGTAGCACTGATGAGGGGACCCTGACAGGTGCAGCTAAGCAGCCGCCTCAGCAGCCGCAGGTGTCGCAGCCCGACACACACCAACCGCAGCAGCAGCCCTCGCACCAGCCTCAGCAGCCGCAGCAGCAGAGGCGGGCGAGTGGACTCCCGCCCGGGTGGCCTGGCACTGGTGGTGGCGGTGGACGTGGTGGTCGTGCGCGTGGTGGACTGTTGGGTGGCGGGTCGGGTGACGCGCGCTGTCAGTACCAACTCCAGACCGGTCCTCGCCGTGGTTTTGTTTGCGGTAAGATCGGTCACACCTCTGTCCGCTGTTTCCGTCGCCTGAACGATCTGTTTCGTCAGCGCTTCGGCCTGACGCCCGACCTCCCCGATTGGCATAGCTTGCTTCGCCGTAGCGTTCAGATCTTTGATATGGACATGGATGAGATTGTTGCTGCCCTGCATGTGATGTATGCTGATGACTCTAGTGTGACTACTTCTTACTACCCCTTGTTGCCTAGTGTAGGCATGTCTAGTCGTGCCTCCCCTGCTGCGTCAGGCGTAGGATCCCCTGCTTTGTTTAGCCTAGGTTCTACTGTCGCTGCTCTGTCTTCAGACGCCACCACTGCACTCTCCTTCACCCTCGAGTCTGGCGCCTCTCGGTGTTTCTTCCGTGACTCCACTACGCTGACGCCTCTTGCTACTCCTGCTGCAGTTTCTCTTGCCGACCCCTTCTTCGGCCCGGTGGTTGCTCGCAGTTCCACCACCCTTCCCTGTCCGGCGGTTCCTTCGGGCTCTCTTACAGGCCTGCACATCCCCTCGTTCTCCAGGAACCTAGTTGGTGTCAGCTGCCTCCCCGACCTTGGCGTCATTACTACGTTCCCTGGTCACGAGTGGTACGCTGTCTGTACCGAGGCCGCCACTAGTGCCCCCCTCACCACGTTCCCCCGGGACCCGGTGTCCGGCCTATTTATACTGGACATTGGGACGTCTCCTCAGGTGGCTGCGTCTACCCAGGTTGCTGCGGCCTGCTCCTGTCGGTCGCTCACTCACCCGACACTCCTGTGGCACCACCGGCTAGGTCATCCCGCCCTCCAGCGTCTGCGTCACATGTCACAGCACGGTCTTGTCCTAGGTCTCCCAGGGTCGTTCCCCGAGTTGCCCTCCTCCCCAGCACCATCGTGCACGCCCTGTGTCGAGGGCCGCCTCCGCCGTGCCCCTCACTCCTCCTCGTTCCCCCCTACCGCCGCACCGCTACAGACCCTGCACATGGACGTCTGGGGCCTCGCCCCCGTCCATGGGCCGCATCGAGAGCACTACTTCCTAGAGCTTGTCGACGACTACACGCGCTACACCACTGTGTTCCCCCTGGAGCGGAAGGCCGACGTGCCTGACGTTCTCATCCCGTGGCTTGTCTCTGCGCGTCTCCCTGTCTTGCGTCTCCACTCCGACCGTGGTGGCGAGTTTGCCTCTGGTGTCCTTGGTCGTTTCTGTCGTGCCGAGGGCATAACCCAGACGTTCACCATGCCGGACTCCCCACAGCAGAATGGGGTCGCTGAGCGACGCATCGGCTTGGTCATGGAGGTGGCCCGTACCTCCATGATCTATGCCGGTGCACCCCATTTACTGTGGCCGTTCACCGTTCGCTACGCCACACACCAGCTTAACCTGTGGCCGCACCCCCAACGGCCGCAGGTTTCGCCGATCCTTCTTTGGTCCGGGTCTCCTGGTGACGCGTCTGCGTTTCACGTTTGGGGCTGCCTTGCTCACGTTCGTGCCTCTGGCACGTACAAGCTCACTGCCCGCACCATCCCTTGTGTCTTCCTCGGTTTCCCCCTTGACGCGTCCGGCTGGCACTTCTACCACCCGCCGTCTCACCGGTTCTTTCACTCCCGTGACGTCACCTTTGACGAGTCCGTCTCTTTCTACCGCCGCTTCCCCCACAGAGGTCCCCTAGTTACTCCCCCCCTGTTCCTGGTTACCCCTTCCCCGGTCGCCCCTGTCCCCCCTCCTCCCCCTCCCCATCCTGCACAGTCTGGTGTGTCTCACGTCACTCCCCTCCTGTCGGTTGTCCCGGTCGAGGAGTCTCCTGACTCTAGTGGCCCTGCGGCGCAGTCCTCACCGCCTGCCCCTTCCCAGGCGACTCCTCCTCCGCCGCCTTCGCAGCCGCCGTCACCGCCACCGCCGCTGCCGCGGCCGTTGCAGCAGCCGTCGCAGCAGCAGTTCGTTGACTCTGGGGGTGCTGGCGTTGGGGTGGGTACTAGTCCTGGAGTTCCTCTCGTGGCTTGTCCCGGCGGGCCTGGGGGTGGTACCGGTGTTCGCGGGGTTCCGGGCTCCGGGGGTGTTCGTTTTGGGGGTGCTGGAGTGGAGTGTTCCGGAGGCAGCTGTGGAGCAGCTTGCTGTCCCGGTGTCGGTGTCGTGCCGCCGCAGCAGCAATCACCGCCGGTGTCAGCCCTTCGCCTGCTCGGCCTCCCGTCCCCTGACCACGTGTCTGTGCCTCCACTGCCGTCTCCTCCCCTTCCTGTCTACGGCCCTGTGTTCCCTCCCCCGAACTCGTCTTTGGCTCGTCTTCCCCCTCGTTCCCCTCCTGTGTCCCCTCCTCTGTCTCTTGACCCGACGCCTCTGTCTCACGTCTGGTCTCGTCGTCCCTCCCGTGCTCGCCCCGTCTCCCCTGTCCCGCGCTCTCATCCTATGTTGCTTTGTTCCCACGCGTCTCGTCCTCCCCTCCTACCATCGCCTCCTCCATCCTCCCTTGTTGTTGCGCCTCCCCCTCTGTCGGACTACCTTCGTGCCGCTCGTCCTCTTGTTCCTCGGGTCCTTGCCTCTCTCGTTACCGACCTGTCTGTTCCGGTCTTGTGTCTTGATGCTCTTGTCGCTGCGGTCGCTGACTTCGCCTCTACCCGCCGCCTTGACTACGCCACCGCTCTGGTCTCTGACCCTGCCTGTCCTCTGTCTGTCGGGGGTGCTTCTGCCCTTGGCAGTGACGTCCTAGAGGACCGCCAGTACGAGCTTGCTTTCCTGTCCAAGGCTGCTCCCCATCTCTGTTCCATGCTGTTAGTCCCTGAGGGTGACCCAAACGCTTTTGACATCCCGACCCCTTGCACTTACGCTGAGGCGACCTCGAGACCTTGGGCCTCTCAGTGGATAGCTGCCATGGAGCAGGAGATGGCATCTTGGAGATCCACCGGCACCTACATCGATGCAGTTCCTCCACCTGGGGTGAACGTAGTCGACGGCCGCTGGCTCATCAAGGTGAAGCGCCCTCCTGGAGAGT